TGGCACATAACAACAATAACAACCATCAAATCAGATCTGACTGGTACAAGAGGAGTTGCCCCTCATTCTCCAGCAGATCATTTGGTGGATTCGAACCTGCACCTCTGGGCTTGCAGTGCAGCTTCTTGCCACTAGGCCACCAGAGCTCCCTCAGCCGAAACTGTTTTAACAGTGGCAACCACAGATGGTACTTAGGATACAGAATCGGCAAAAATATTCTTGGTTATATTTACAGAGGTTACAATTTATATGAAAATTCATTTACCCTATTGTTTATAGGCAAGCCATTGCAAGAAAGATTTTAAATAGGAAAATAATGAACAAAGCATTTGTCATCTGTCAGTGTGTATATCGTCAAATCAAAAGTCAACTCATAGCTGAACTGTTAGTGGATTTTCAGAGGCAGCAAATCACATGGGAGAAACTTCTAGTCTTTTTCTCATGGAGGTGCTGATGGGTCTGGATTGTGGGCCTTTGGGGTTGGCAGCCCAGCTCCTTGCCATTAGCCTACCAAAGCTCCCTAGATATCATTAATATGGGTAATAGCTAATTTTAATAAAACAAGTCCTCTTTGGTTTGTGGTTCTTTTTTTTTAAATCATATATTGAAAATTCATTGTAATGAGAGAATGAAGAAACTTTTCTAACACACAAAGATACTGGTTATCTCAAAGTTGAGTATGAATCATCAACTTTAAAAGATTTTTTTTTAAGTTTGTTATGGTAAAAGATTGGAGAATACTATTCAGCAGGTTGCTCTTTTCAGAATATAAACTCAGTTGATAGTCTTCCTTCAAAGTAACAGATTGCATTGTTATATTTCGTGTGTTAAGACCATAGACTACTCTTTGAAAGGAAGCTGTGCCCCAGGGACAATTATTTATAAATGATTAAAGGGAAATGTTTCTAGCAAATCACTGTTATATTGGCAATGGTGATTAAATAATTTTTAAAGAATTGTTTTTATTTTGTTGTTAATTGCTGTCCAGTCAGCAGATCATAGCCATATGGATTATTATTAATTTACTTCTTTTTCTTAATTTTGAGGCTGTCTGGAAATCTAAAAATAATAAGTCTAACACTTTGAACAGCTTGTTTTGCAGTTTTTTTTAAATCAAAGCATTAAATGTCTGTGTTGTGTGAACAGAGCAGGGGAGCACTGCATGGTTTGGAAGTGGGAAGGGAGTGCGTCAGTGATGTATTCTGTCTCCCTACCTGTTCAGTCTATATGCTGAAGAAATTTTCCAAGAAACGGGACTCTATGAAGAAGAATGTGGTATGAGGATGGGAGGGAAAACTCATTAATAACCTGTATTGTGCAGATGACATAATCTTGTTTGCTGAAAGTAAGGAGGATTTGAAGCACTTGTTGCAGAAGATCAAGGAATGCAGCCTTCAGTATGAATTGCGTCTCAATGTCAAGAAAACAAAGAATCTTACCACTCTACCAGTAGGCAGTGTCATGATGGATGGAGATGAGACTAAACTGTTAACAGCTTCATCTTGCTTGAATCCACAGTTAACACCCTTGGTACGAACAGTCAGGAAATAAGAGACACATCTGCAGTTAGGGACTTTTCCAAATTTTGAATGAGTAGTGATACTGATGTCAGTTTGAGGACTAAGGTGCGTCTGATTCAGGCCATGGTCTTTCCAATTACTAGCTATGCATCCGAGATCTGGGCTTTGAATAAGGATGACAGAAAAAGTATGTGATGCCTTTGAACTGTGGTGTTGAAGAAGTACACTGAACATCCCATGGACGGCCAAGAAAATGAACAGTTAAGTCTTGGAGAGGGTGCAGCCGGAGAGTACTCTTTGGAGACAAGAATGATGAGGCTTCGCCTCACATACTTCGGACATACTGCTAGAAGGTGCTGTTACTTGGAGAGGGACATGATATTGGGAAGGGCGAAGGGTTGGCAAAGTAGAGGCAGACCCTCATCAGATGGACTGACAAGATGATTACTGCAGTGGACTCATGTGTCAGGAAGTGTGAGTATGATGCAAAGTAGAGCAGGGTTCAGATACTTTGTTCATAGGGTCGCTATGAGTCATACTTGACTCAATAGCATCTAACAACAGCAACAACAACGATGATAACCATTCTTCATTCTCACAGCATTCTCATATGGCCAGTAAGAGGAATTTTTTATTCCTCCTATTGGTGTATTAGAAGTGTCCTTAACTTTACAAGTAATTTGTGGAACATGTGAAGTAGAACTGGGGCCGCTGAGTGTGTTACACTGAGAGTGTTATGGAAGCCTGGAGGAAAACCGAAACAGGTATCCTAGAAAAAGCACATCAGCAGTTCTAAAAACTAAAATGGTTTTTTCGTTTGTTTGGTTTTTTTTAAAAAAAGTTCCTTTAAAAATAAAAATCTTCATTTGTCACTTTTTTATTTTAGGAAAACTGGAAACCAGTGGTTAATACTGTTTTACTCAGATCAGACAGCCATATTTCATGCAGTGTATGTTTATTCAGAAAACCCTGTTTTACCTTCGAGTTTCTTGTGCACATAGCTCTGAACTCGGCTCTATCCTGAGCCATTCTCATTGTCTCTTAAACACCTATCCCATTACACCCGTCACTGTGTCAGTCCATGTTATTCAGAGTTTTCCTCTTGTGCTCTCTCCCCACTTTTCCAAGCATGATGTCCTTCTCCAAGGACTGGTTCCTCCTGGCCACGTGTCAAAAGTATGTGAAATGGAGCTTCAAAATCATTGTCTCCAAGCAGCAGATGTTTCTAAAAAGCTGTGATGACTCAAATATTAATTGCTAAAGTTGTGCATTCTGTTCACAATAACAGGCACTTTTACTGTGATTCCCCCCCCATTCAATCATATTTATAATGTGTGAAAAAAATGCTAAACTTTCAGTATTTTTAGTTAGTGAAAGGATGTAAATATCTTTTACACGCATCTCCCATTCACACTCCCACTTAACACTCCTACTTCCCCATCTAAGTTCTTAGACCTCTTTCTTAGACCTTTTGAAGGGGGGAGGATCTGTGAATGCAGGTTTACCAATCCCTACCTAAAATCCAAGAATAATGCTGCAAAAGGGAAAGAGTTTCATTTCCTACTTTCAAATTTTAGTTTAACCTAACCTTAACTATTTTGTAAGTGTTCCTATTTTCTATTCCTCTATAGGATGTACTCTATAAGATATCAAAGCTGCTTATAACAGGTTCTGTTCATACCTTGCACTTACTAGAAGAGGGCTTACTCTGCCTCTCATGGTCAGAGGAGTGGTATTAAGGTAGAAAATTATTAAATTGTTAGATTATAACTTGAAGTTGTTTTCCCTCTGTTAATTTGTGTATGAATTTTTTTATGAAACCCATACATTTATCCAAGTAGTTGATAGTTCACTTACGAAAGAATTTAGCCATATTCTTTTATGTTAACTTGGTAAAACTTTTGTATGAATATTTTAACATCTCTGACTTGACTTCCTTTCATGTCCTTTTACTCTGATAATAGTTCTTAGATTTAACTTTTCCCTTTTCTGTGTTCATACTACTGTGGTAACAGTCCTAAATTACTATAGCAGTACTTTGAGAATTTTGAATCACAGTAGAACATAAGGGAACAATTTTTTGTTTACTGTGTTCTTAACAAGGAGCCCTGGTGGCACAGTGACTTAAGTGGAAAATGCTAGTGGAAAGAATAGCTGTTTGAACCCACCAGCTGCTCTGTGGGAGATAGATGGGGCAGTCTGCTTCCATAGATTATAGCCGTGGAACTGAAGCTGTTTTGCCTGTCCGAGAAGATCATGTCAGAAAGATAGGCAATCTCTTCTTGTATGATTTATAGCTTTTAGAAACCCAAGGAAGGGCCAGCTATGAGTCAGTCCTGACTTGGCACCGTGAGTTTTGTTGTAAACATAATTGTTTTCTACCATTGAGCTACCTTTCTTCTTTTGCTGAAAATTAGTTGCTTCTGTAATGTTGTTTGCATTTTGGACTTTCTTTATATTATATTGGGGACTAGCAAGCCAGATCTGACCCATAGACTGTTTTTTAAATATTATTTACGAACAGAACCATGTCCATTCATTTCTGTGTCATTTAGGGCTCTTACTGCAGATGGCCTACTGGATAGGGAGTTTTGCTGTATAGAGGGAGCTAATGTGTACCCTAATGGGTAAGAGATTGCACTGGCAACCCAAAGGCAGTGGGTCAAATTCACTAGTTGTTCCAAGTGAGAAAAATGGGCAGTTTTCTCATGTGCCATTTACAGCCTCTGAATCCATTGGGGAGGGTCAGCAATGAGTCAGTTCCAATTCAACATAGAGGCTCTGTGCCCTACAGAGGTAAAATATCAATGTACTTATTATTCATGGAGAATTAGTTTTTAGTTTAGTGTGTTAAAAATTTTGTAGGCTTATCATTGAAAATCTTTTGGCTGATAACTTTTTTCATTTTTATAATGACTAAATTGTAAAAACATTACAATTTTCCCTTTAATTAGCTCAATGAAAAGAGCACTTTCTTGGCACAAAAAATTTGAAATGAACTTTTATCAAGTTGCTGTGAGTTTTGATATGCGAGGTACAGGCATTTAGAAATGGAAAACTAGCCTTCGTAAGTGCATACTTGAGATATGCTAGTGAACAGAAATATGTTTTACCACACTATTTTTGGCTAAATGCTTAATGTTGCACTTCTTGTAACATGTTTTATTATTTACTCTTTATTTTGCTACTTTCAGGAAATTAAAAGGAGTCTAGATAATCAAGCAGAAAGAAAAATGGAAGGTCAGAATTCCCAGAGTCCACATCAGATCTCACCATCTCTAAACACACGTGCAGAGCAGCATGTGCCCGTCCCTGCAGTGCCCAGTAAACAGCCAGTTCTGCAGTATGGCAATCCCTATGCGGCTCAGGAAGCAAGAGGTTGTGGAAATTTCTTAGGTTTTGGGTTAGCAGAACCTGGAAGGGTTTGGTTGTTGTTGCTGTGGCTTATATTTTAGTAGGAGTAAAATCATGTCTAATGGAAACATAATTTTATTTGTGTAACATGCAGTTTTAATGTTAAAGTCTAATTGGACTCATCAAGATATGATGAACTGTGGATCTGAGGTCTTTGCTTACTTTGCAGAGAGCTCTCCTATAAAACCATTTGGGTTAAAATAGAATTGTTCATTTATTTAATATGCCCCAAATGGTGCTATATATTTTGTTCATCTTATTTATTGATAAATAGAATGCTAATTTGAATATGAAGTTTCATTCTGCCTTCCCACAATATTTACTGCAGATGGAGCAGCAGATGGTGCTTTTTATCCAGATGAGATTCAGAGGCCACCTGTCAGAGTGCACTCCTGGGCGCCAGAGGACAGCGTTGTCTGCAGCCAGCCTGCTCGCAACCTTAGCCGACCTGATGGTTTAGAAGACCCTGAGGATGGCAGAGTAAGCAGGGTTTCTATTTCTTGAGCCTACCTTTCATTTTTTAACTTCTGCAAAGAGAGATGTGCATCCTGTGTGTACACTATTGCTTCTTCTTTTTTTTTTCTTCTCACACTATTGCTTCTTATTTTCAGAAAAACTAACTTGCATTTATTTAATTAATTAGCCCTAAGTATGCTTCAGATTTATGCTTCAGGATTTCAGCTGAGTGAAAGGTTAAGTTCAAAGAATGACCTCATAATATTGTAATTATCCGATAGATTAATCTTAATCTTCCTTAAGTAACTTTATATATTCTTTTCAATATTGATATATTAGGCTGGAGGAAACAAAGTGTCGACGACAATATCATGCTTCAGTTTACTTTCATTTTAGCATTTCTATCCTACTTTGAATTTTCAGACTCATGAGTATCATTAGCAAGAAAAATAGAGAAGAGTATGTAATGTATAGTAAGTAGTTGTTAGAAATACTCTCTTCAGCATCTTAAGTATGTATGTAGCATTTATTTTTCTTGGACAGCAACACAATACTAATGGTAATTGAATTAGTTTGTGTGGCCTGTCATAATTTTTAAAAATTTCATCTAAGAGACTTAACCATTTAATAAATGTGCTATTTTTCTCCTAACAACTTTCAGATTTCTTGTACAGTAAGATGAATTTAAAAGAAATGCTTTATTGTGCTCTTTGCAAGTACAGCAGTATCATGACCTGTTTCTCATTTACTCTAGTTTGCTGCATTTAATTGCTATTAACCTTTGCAGAAACTGATCAGTGTTCAGACAGGCATGATTTTAGCCCTAGAGCTCAACACTCATAATGGAGAAAAATGTATTTCTCCCTCCTGCCTTTTGGCCTCCTTTGTCCATTACTGGGAATAATTAGGAAAACTGTCAGAACTTTTGTAGTCTATTTAAGGTCTAGAGTATCCTCTCCTTGCTTTTTCACACTTTTATTTCACATTTTGCATATTTAATACGATCGTTCTTGGCACAGATGTTACATGTGACAAGCCCTTCTCTTCCGTAGTCTTCTGCTTCGGTTTAATTAGCAGAATGTTCTTTCTGATCTGTGTGCTTTGCCCTCCTGCAAACCCAGGAGAAGCAGTGTTAGAGTCTTGTGCTCATTTGCTGACATATCTAGATTTGGTAATGAGATGGAAGGATTATCTTAGTATGCACACCTTGGGTAACAATCAGAAAAATTTTCACATTACACAGAAATGAAATTTTTTAAATGTACATTCAGAACTTAGTTTTTTTACACAATTTCCTGTCATTAGAACAGTAAAATTTACTTGCTCATGAAGTGTTTTAGTAAGTAACTTTTTAGTAAAATCTACTAAGTAAATTTGAGTTGACTTGCTTTTACTTTTCTATTTTTGTGATAATAGTTATAGGACCCAGCACTTGTGAGTGAGGACTGAGAAGTCCTCCTGTTTCCCTTAGGTCTGTTCTTTCCAACCAGAAGCTGTGGTCAACTGTCCAACCCTTCAGGGATTTTTTTTGTTTGTATTTTTACCTAATTTGGCTATGGCAGTAACTGTAACCTCTTTATGATGATGGTAAATGGCAACAAATGTCTTTTTATTTCTCTATGCCAATTAATGCTAAGTCCTTAGATACAGATTTATTCTTCAGAGCAGTCCTGTGAGGAAGCTGAGGCACAGGGATATTCAGTAACTTGCCCGTAACAACATAATTGTTGAGGATAGTGCCAGGATTTGCCTATAGTAACTGTAGTGTTTACCACTTAGAAAAGCACTCTTAATTATCTTTTGACCAGAGTGTTGTATATTAACAGTATGTTTTATTGAGACTAAACTCTAAGTAATTATGTTCTAACAACTTTAGTGGTGGCGTTGTTGTTGTTAGGTGTCATCAAGTCGAGTAGACTCATAGTGAACAAAAGATCTCAATCTAGTTCTGTCCTGAGTCATCCTCACATTTCCTGATACACAAGGGCCCATTGCAGAAATCATCTTGTCAGTCCATCTGATGAGGGTCTTCCTCTACTCTGCCAACCCTTCCCCCTTCCCAACATCATGTCCCTCTCCAAGAAAGAGCACCTCCTAGCAGTATGTCCAAAGTATGTGAGGCGAAGCCTCATCATTCTTGTCTCCAAAGAGTACTCTCCGGCTGCACCCTCTCCAAGACTTACCTGTTCATTTTCTTGGCCGTCCATGGGATGGATGTTCAGTGTACTTCTTCAACACCACAGTTCAAAGGCATCCCATACTTTTTCTGTCATCCTTATTCAAAGCCCAGGTCTCGGATGCATAGCTAATAATTGGAAAGACCATGGCCTGAATCAGACGCACCTTAGTCCTCAAACTGACATCAGTATCACTACTCCTTCAAAATTTGGAAAAGTCCCTAACTGCAGATGTGTCTCTTATTTCCTGACTGTTTGTACCAAGGATGTTAATTGTGGATTCAAGCAAGATGAAGCTGTTAACAGTTTAGTCTCCTCCCCATCCATCAAGACACTACTTATTGGTCCAGTGGTAAGAATCTTCTGAAGAACAACAAAGTAACAGTAGTTGAAAAATATGGACTTAGTGATAGAAATGAAGCTGGAAATAGAATGCTTTGATTTTATATTTACAGTAATTTATTCATTGCGAATACTTTTTCTAAAAGATAAAAAAGATGACTTTCACCAGCTCGGCTGAATAGGAACCAGATTGACTACATTTGTGGAAGAAGTTGTTGGAGAAGCTCAATATCAGCTGTCGAAACTAGGCCAGAGACAGTCTGTGGGTCAGTTTATCAATTAATCATAGGCAAGTTTAAATTGAGGCAAAATAAAATAAGACCAGAGGAACCAAGATATGATCTTGAATCAGTTCCATCAATTTCATGATCATCTTAAGAACAGGTTTGAGATGAGTTGTGGGATGATATCAAGGATATCATCCATGAAGAAAGCAAAAAATCGTTACAAAAACAGGAGAAAGAAAAAACGGAAGTAAATGTCAGAAGAGACTTAAAAGATTACGGTGGAATGTCCAGTAGCCAAATCTAAAGGAAAACATGTCAAAGTGAAAGAGCTAAATGTATAGTTTCAAAGGGCAGCTCGGGAGGACAAAGCAAAGTATTATAATGTAATATGCAGAGAGCTGGAATTGGAGACTAAAACGGGAAGAACTTGCTCTGTGTTTCTCAAGCTGAACTGAAAAATTTAAGCCTTATGTTGCAGTGCTTGTTGAAAGATGCTATGGGCAATATATTCAACGACAGAGAAAACATCAAAAGAAGATGGGGGAATACACAGTCACTGTACCAGAAAGAATTAATTGAAATGGAAAAATTACAGGAAGTACCATAAGAACAAGAGCCAGTGGTAATGAAAGAGGAAGTGAAAGCTGCACTGCATTGGCAAAAAATAAGGCCTCAGGAATTGATGGGATACCAGTTGACTTGTTTCATTTAACAGATACAGCCTTGGATGCACTCACCAGTCTATGCCCGGAAATTTGGAGGGTGGCTGCCTGACTAATGGATTGGAAGAGGTATTTGTTTGTATTTCTAAGAAGGGTAATCCATCTGAATATGGAAATTATTGAACCGTATCATTGATAATCTCGTGAAAGCAAAATAGTACTGAAGATCATGAAAAAAAAAATAAAATAAATGACTGGAACAGTACATAGATAGGGAATTGCCAGAAGTTCAAGTGGAATTCAGAAGAGGTCATGTCACCAGGGATATCATTGCTGATGTCAAATGGATCCTGGCTGAAAGTAAGGAATACCAGAAGAATGTGTGTTTGTACTTTATTAACTGGGTCATGACAAGTTGTGGCTACCAACCATTGAGGAAAATGGAATCCCAGAGCATTTGTTTGTGCTCAGGATGAACCTATACCTGGAACAGGAGGCTGTTGTTCACACAGAGCAGGGGAGCACTTCATTGAGAACATGATGATCTGGATCTCTAGATTCACGTCGTTGCATGTTAGCTCTCTGGAGAAAGTCCCTGACAGCACGTTTTCCCAGTGCACCTCATCTTTTCATTTATTGTCTGTTGATCCCAGTGGTGTTGATTGTGGATCTGAACACGATGAAATTATTAACACCCTCCAGTCTTTTTCCATCTTATCATGATGCTTTCTGTTGGCCTGGTGGTGAGGATCTTTGCTTTCTTGATATTGAGGTGGCATTCCATTTTGAAAACTGCTTGACCTGCAGCAAACTCTTCAGGTCCTCCTCAGTTTCGATAAGCAAGGTTGTCATCTGCATAACATAGATTGTTGATGAATCTTCTCTAATCCTGTTGCCACAGTTCTTCATTATAATGTCCAGCCTCCTGAATGATCTGGCCAGCACTTAAATTGAAAAGGATGCATCCCTGGGGCACTCTGTTCTTGATTTTGAACCATGCTGTGTTTCCAAGCTCTGTTTGGACAACAGCTTCCTGGTCTAGGTAGGTTTCACCTGAACACAAATAAGTGTTTTAGGATTTCCATTCTTCCCGAGGATATCCACAGTTGTTGTGATCCATGTAGTCAAGTGCCTTTGCATAGTCAATAAAACACAAATAGGACATCCTTCTGGTACACTCTGCTTGTAGCTAAGATCCATCTGACATCAGCAGTGGTATTTCTAGTATCATGGCCTCTTGTAAACACAGCTTGTATTTCTGTCAGTTCCCTGTCCATTTACTGTTGTAGTCATATTTGGATAACCTTCAGCAAGATTTTATTTGCATTTGATATTAGAGTTATTGTTCAGTAATTTCCACATTCTAGTGGATCACCTTTTTTGGGAATATGGACCTCTTCCAGTCAGTTGACCAGGTTGCTGTCCTTCAGATTGTTTAGCACAGCCTGGTGAGCACGTCCAGGGCTGTAGCTGTTTGTTGATACATCAGTTGGTAGTCCTTTAATTCCTAGGGTCTTATTTTTTGCCAATTCTTTCAGAGCAGCCTGAACGTCTTCCTTCATTGCCATTGGTTCTTGATAATATGCTGCTTCTGGAAGTGGTTCTGTATCAGCCAA